AATCGCGCCCCTCGGACATCCCCATGGAAATGGAAGACACACCCTGGAAATCTGCTGGGAAATCTCCCTGGAAATCTTGCCCCTCGGAAATCTCAGTGGAAATCTCCCTGGGAATCTTGCCCCTCGGAAATATCCGCGGAAATCACCCGGAGAATCTTGCCCCTCGGGAGTCCCATCGGACATGTGACAGGAAAATACCCGTTGTCTCCCATTGGAAATCTCCATGGAAAATCCCCCGGGAAAGCCACCCGAAAATCGCACCCCTCCGGGTGCCTCCACGGGCAGCCTCCGGGGGCAATTCCGACCTTGATGCGGAAATCTCCCAGGGAATCCCCCCCGGATCCCCGCGAGCCCCCCAAACAAAAACTGGATCTGGCGAACTTTATCCAATGAGTCGGGCCCCGCGAAAGACGCCCCCTGGTTAAGTTGAAAACCCAATGGCCAAAACCCAATGTAAAATTTAATTCTGTGAGCCCAAGAGGCGGCCATATAAACATGGAATGTAAGAAACCAATATCAGATGCGAGGCGCGCGCGCGCGCTGGCGAGCCGCGCGGGGCCGGGCCACCCGCGCGCGCGCGAACGCGCACGCCATGCATCTTGCATTGGTCTTATACAATCGGAAGCCATGTTAAGTTGAAAACCCAACGGTCAAAACCCAATGTAAAAATTCATTCTCTGGGCCCACGAGGCGGCCATATAAACGTGGAACTCACAAAAACAATACAATATGCGAGGCGCGCGCGCGCTGGTGACCCGCGCGGTGCCGGGTCACCCGCTTGCGCGCGCGCGCGATGCCTCTTGTATTGCTTGTATACAATCGGAGGCCATGTTAAGTTGAAAACCCAATGGTCAAAACCCAATGTAAAATTTCATTCTCTGGGCCCAAGAAGCGGCCACAGAAATGTCGAATCTACCAAGACAATACAATATGCGAGGCGCGCGCGCGCGCTGGTGACCCGCGCGGCGCCGGGTCACGCGCTTGCGCGCGCGCACGCGCGCGCTGCATCCTGCATTGCTTGTGTACTATTGGAGGCCATGTCAAGTTGAAAACCCAATGGTCAAAACCCAATGTAAAATTTCATTCTCTCTGCCCAAGAAGCGGCCATATAAACGTGGAATTCACAAAAACAATACAATATGCGAGGCGCGCGCGCGCGCTGGTGACCCGCGCGGTGCCGGGTCACCCGCTTGCGCGCGCGCACGCGCGCACGCGTCCGCGCACGCGATGCATCCTGTATTGGTTTCATACAATCAGAGGCCATGTTAAATTGAAAACCCAATGGTCCAAACCCAATGTAAAATTTCATTCTCTGGGCCCAAGAGGCGGCGATATAAATGTGGAATACACAAAATCAATACAATGCCCTGCTCCGTGTTGCGGGGTGTCCCGGGAAGGGTGGGTCGGGCAGAATTCCTCAGAGATTGCATGTCCAGGCGATGCCATGCTCGTGGCCCCGTAGGGAGCCCCACCGAGAGGCCCCAATTGGGGTGCCCGCATGCGGTTCCCCCACCCAGGGCAGCGCTTCGTAGCTCCAAAGGGAGCCCCACCGAAGGCCCCAGTGGGGGTGCCCGCGTGCGGTCCCCCCACCCAGAGCAGCGCGTCGTAGCCCCATAGGGAGCCCCATCGAAGGCCCCAGTGGGGGTGCCCGCATGCGGTCCCCCCACCCAGAGCAGCGCGTCGTAGCCCCATAGGGAGCCCCACCGAAGGCCCCACTGGGGGTGCCCGCATGCGGTTCCCACACCCAGGGCAGCGCTTCGTAGCCCCATAGAGAGCTCCACCGAAGGCCTCAGTGGGGGTGTTTGCATGCGTCCTCCCTTCCCAGAGGTAGCGCCACCGAAAACGATATTCATATTTGCGGTATTCACAACTGCATATGGTTGGGTCCTTCGCCAGGCTAATTACGAAGACTACCGCGAACCGCGGCACTAACATGTGTAGAGCCTAGAATCCGCCGGCCCCCTTGTGGGGCCACCAGGCTGTAGGCACGGGCTCGCAGTTTCCAGTAGCAGTTGTAGCTTGTAGTTTCCAATGTTACAGTTCTGCTTCTTGCTGGTTACTGTAACTAGTTGATTGACCGCGCGAGGGGGGGGGAGGCCCAAACAGGATTTTGTTGCACCCCCTGGGCGCGTTGTCTGAATTGCTGGGGAGGCTCGAAATCGACACCCCTCACGCAGATCCGCGGGGTCAGGGTCCAAAAACACATGGGATTTGTTACATTTCTGAAATTCGGTGCCACCCCTCACGCAGATCCGCGGGGTCAGGGTCCAAAAACACAGGGGATTTGCCACATTTCTGAAATTCGGTGCCACCCCTCACGCAGATCCGCGGGGTCAGGGTCCAAAAACACAGGGGATTTGCCACATTTCTGAAATTCGGTGCCACCCCTCACGCAGATCCGCGGGGTCAGGGTCCAAAAACACATGGGATTTGCCACATTTCTGAAATTCGGTGCCACCCCTCACGCAGATCCGCGGGGTCAGGGTCCAAAAACACATGGGATTTGCCACATTTCTGAAATTCGGTGCCACCCCTCACGCAGATCCGCGGGGTCAGGGTCCAAAAACATAAGGGATTTGCTACATTCCTGAAATTCGGTGCCACCCCTCACGCAGATCCGCGAAGTCAGGGTCCAAAAACACACCGGAGTTGCTACATTTCTGAAATTCGGTGCCACCCCTCACGCAAATCCGCCGGGTCAGGGTCCAAAAACACAAAGGATTTGTCACATTTCTGAAATTCGGTGTCACCCCTCATACAGATCCGCGGGGTCAGGGTCCAAAAACACAGGGGATTTGCTACATTTCTAAAATTCGGTGCCACCCCTCACGCAGATCCGCGGGGTCAGGGTCCAAAAACACAGGGGATTTGCCACATTTCTGAAATTCAGTGCCACCCCTCACGGACATCCATCGCAAGGCGTGGTAACCCAAACTGCGAGTACTCCCTCGGCCCTTTAATCCCAAGGTGTGGTAACCAAGCTCGTAAACCATACACGTCTTACCAATCGCCCTGTGTGGTAACCCCTCTTGTGATCAGTTGGTTTTTTTCCGATTGCGAATCGGCCTCGCATGAAGTTCCGATACTGCTGCGCGACAGCGCCAAAGCCTCATGACTTAGCTCTTCCATGGCCCATTCTCCGAGTGAGTGGGCCGGCGGCAGGGGGCGAAACCCTTACGGATAAACGAACTACCAACGCCAAAATGTGTTTAGAAATGGCGTTGCGAAATCTATTGCGTGGGCACGGGCAATCAGAATCATCGGCTGAATCCACTGCGCGGGCCCCGACAGTCATAATCGTAACGCATCAAAAGCAATCTTCAAATATTCGACCCTGGTCTGACGCACCCCATGCTCACCTGCTCTCGCCAATTCCAAGACCCAAGACGTCCTACACAATTCAGAAACATCCTAATCCGCACCATCGGGTTTGACACGGGTTCTTTCTGCGGGGTCCTTTTGTGGAGGACAACAATAGGACTCCAGTTGCGGAGGCGTGCATTGATATTTTTTGCGGCTGGTTAAAATAGGATTCCTTTAGTGGCGGGTTTCAATAGGACGCCTTATGCGTCTGGTTTCAATGGGATTCTTTGCGCGGAGGAATACAATAGGATTCCGTTTATGGACGATGGCAATATGATTTTTTCTGTGGAGCACTATATTATGATTCCTTGCGTGGCGGATTTCAACAGGATTCCATTCGTGGAAGATTACAACGAGATTCTTTTATGTGGGATGAAAATAAGATTCCACACGTGGGGAATACGCTAAGAGTCCTTTTGTGAAGGGTTACACTCGGATTCCTGTTGTGGGGGATTACAATAGATTTCCTTTCGTAGCGGATTTCAGAAGGATTCCGTTTGTGGAGGCTGACATTCGGATTGTGTAGAGGATTTGAATGGGATTTCCTGTGGGTTTTACAACAGAATTCCTCCTGTGGGTGATTCCAATGGGGTTCCGTTTATAGAGGATTACAATCAGATTCCGTTTGTGGAGGGTTACAACAGGACTCCTTCTGTAAAGGAATAAAATTGGATTCCTTGCGTGGAAGATTACAATGGGATTCCGTTTGTGGACGTTCTCGCGCGAGCGGAATGCCCCGGAGATTTCGCCGGAGATTTCTACCTGAAGGGGGCTTCCCGGAGATTTCGTCGGAGATTTGGCCGGGATTCCTAACCTCGGCAGGGTTGTCTGGAGATTCCGTCGGAAATGTCGCCGATGATTTCCGCTGCCGGAGATCCGAGGGGCCCCCGCCACTGCTGCCGGAGATTCTGGGGGAGAATTCTGGGAGAATTCTATGATGTTCCTGGGGGAGCGAGAGGTCTCAACGCACCCGACGCAAGCCAGGGGAGATGCCGCCGTGCAATGACCAATGGGTGCAGGAGCAGGAATTGAAGCTCCAGGACCACTTGATGACGGCCAGCCGAAGAACGAGGGCCAATAGTGTGGGCTACAGGCCGTAGTGGCCGTGACGCCGTGACTCCCGCGCATTTTGCCATCCCGTTATTTCGGGATGCGTCGGGACTGAAACACCACGAGGGCGCGTCAGGCGGCTGGCGAGGATCTAGACATCTAGATGCTGGCTACTCCTCGCGAGGCGAAGACCTAATGTGGGAACGGCCTCGCACCAGTGCTAGAAAGTTTGGGTGGTCGGCAATCCCGCTTCATAGGCCAAAGGCGACGTGGCGATCACCAACGTCATGACCACACAACTACAACAGCTAGCACGTCGTGATCGTGAGGATTGTCATCGCTGTCGTCATCGTATCGTTGTCGTCAGCATCGTCGTCACCATCGTCGTCACCATCAGCATCATCGTTGTCGCATCTTCGTCGGCGTCGTCGTCGCCGTCGCCGCCCTCACCTGGGAAACCAGAAGATACCGATATCGAGATTCCCTGGACCTCTCCCGGGGTGAGCTCTGACCAGAATTTCGAGGCGATCCCAGCCGTGGCGACGAGCGCTCGTAGGTCCAGAGAAGGCAAGACGAGGCACCGCGTCCTGCTGGATCTCGAACTGCCCCCCCTCGTCGTCCACCACGAGCAGCTGCCCTCCGTCGACGCTGTCCACCCGGCCGGGCAGCCAACCCTCCGTGGGGTGCTCGAGGATCCACACCCTGCTGCCTCGGGAAGGGGGCGAGGGCAGAGGACGCGCGGCGAGCTGTGCTCGTATCCGCGCCCTCACGGTCTGGATTCCGGGGCGCGATGCCGCGGACACGCGGTTGCACGGATGTACGCTCCGCGCGGGGCATCCACGAAAAACTGCCCCGCATCCGGTGGGCCGCGGCCAAGGGGCCAAGCCCGCGAGGCCGTGGATACGGATATGTTTTTCGCCGACGACATGATTGAGAGAGCACGAGCAGGATTGGGACGCGATCGGTGCCACCGTGGTGAGAATGATCCCGCCCCAGGTGAGAGGGACATGGTTGCAGCGACAGGGCGGCGGGGATGGAACAGTGCAATTGCTACAGCTTTCAACTCGATGAGAATGCATTGAATCAGGCCCGAGCTACACCTGCGTGACTGTTGGCACTTCCAAACGCAAGGATCAGGAAAACCCCAAGCCCCCAGCCCGCCCTACTGACACGTCTGATGATGCGACGAGGAGTGGAGTGCAAATTATAGTGGCATGGGGAGGAGCAGCAGCAGGAGCAGCAGCAAACAGTTCACCCTCTCCTCCTCATACCCCTTCTCCTTCTCCCCTCTCCGCCTTCTCCCTCCTCCTCCCTCCTCCTCCCTCCTCCTCCCTCCTCCCTCCCTCCTCCTCCCTCCTCCTCCCTCCTCCTTCCTCCTCCCTCCTCCTCCCTCCTCCCAAGGCCTGCGCACGCTGGTGACGCGGGCCCCCGTGGGCCGGCAGGGCGACGCGCAGTCCGCCATGCTCTCGGCTGACGGCCAAAAGGTGCTCACGGCCTCGAGCGATCGGATGGCGAGAGTCTGGCCCACGGCCTCTCGGGAGTGCCCGCGAGCGCTGCGGGGCCGCTGCGCACCCGCGCGGTCGGCAGTCTTCTCGCCCGGCGGGCAGGAGGTGCTGACCGCGTCGGAGGGTCGCACGGCGAGGATCTGGTCTGCTGCATGTGGGGCCTGTCTGCAGAAACTGGAGGGCCACGAGGGCATCACACGGTGGAAGGCCAGAAGAGCAGCATGAACATACACTTCCGGAGGCCCGCGCAGACTTCTGCGTAGGCACTGTAAAAAATCCTCCTCCTCCTCCTCCTCCTCCTCCTCCTCCTCCTCCTCCTCCTACTCCGCCTCCTCCTCCTCCTCCTCCCTCCCTCCCTCACTCCCTCCATCCATCCATCCATCCATCCAGCTTCATCCTCTGCATCCTCTTCATATTCCTTCTCCTTATCCTCCTCCTACTCCTCCTCTTCCTCCTCTTCCACCTCTTCCTCCTCTTCCTCCTCTTCCTCCTCCTCCACATCATCATCATCATCATCATCATCATCATCATCATCATCATCATCATCATCATCATCAGCATCATCAGCATCATCATCGGAATCAGAAGCATCGGCACCATCATCATCAGCATCATCATCATCATCATTATCATCAACACCATAACCATCAGCATCATCATCATCAGCATCATCATCAATAATCATCATCAACAAAAGCATCAGCATCAGCATCATCATCAGCATCATCAGCATCATAAGCAGCAGCGTCATCATCAGCATCAGCATCAGCATCAGCATCATCGTCAGCATCATCAGCATCATCAGCATCATCATCAGCAGCATCATCATCATCGTATTCATCATCATCAGCATCATCATTATCATCATCATCAGCAGTAGCAGCATCAGCAGCAACAGCATCATCATCATGATCATCATCATGATGATCATCATCATCATCATCATCATCCTGATCAGCGTCATCAGCATCGACATCATAATGAGCATCATCAGCATAATGCATCAGCATCATCAGCATCATCATCATCATCATCATCAGCATCAGCATCATCATGAGCAGCAGCATCATCAGCAGCAGCAACAGCAGCAGCATCAGCATCATAATCATCAGTATCATCATCAGAAGCATCAGCATGTTCCTCATCGGCGTCATCAGCATCATAATCATGAGCATCAGCACCATCAGCAGCATCAGTCATCAGTCATCATCATCATCATCATCATCATCATCATCATCATCATCATCAGTCATCATCATCATCATCATCATCATCATCAGCATCATCATCATCAGCATTACCATCATCATCAGCATCAGCATCGTCATCATCATCATCATCGCCATCAGCATCAGCATCATAATTATCAACGTCACCATCATCATTGTCGGCAGCAGCAGCATCAGCAGCAGCAGCAACAGCAGCATCATCAGCAGCATCATCATCAGCGGCATCATCATCCTCATCAGCATCATCAGCATCGGCATTATCATAAGCATCATCAGCAGCAGCATCATCATCAGCATCATCGTCATCATCATTGTCATCATCAACGGCAGCATCATCATTATCATCGTCATCATCACAATCATCATCAGCAGCAGCAACCGCAGCACCATCATCAGCAGCATCATCAGCGGCATGATCATCATCATCATCCTCATCAGCATCATCAGCATCGTCATCATCATAAGCATCAGCATGATCAGCAGTACCACTCGTCATCATCAGCATCATCAGCATCATCAGCATCATCATCAGCATCACCAGCATCATCATCGACAGCATCAGCATCATCATCATCAGCATCATCAGCATCATCATCATCGGAATCAGAAGCATCGGCACCATCATCATCAGCATCATCATCATTATCATCAACATCATAAACATCAGCATCATCATCATCAGCATCATCATCAATAATCATCATCAATAATCATCATCAACAACAGCATCAGCATCAGCATCATCATCAGCATCATCAGCATCATAAGCAGCAGCGTCATCATCAGCATCAGCATCAGCATCAGCATCATTGTCAGCATCATCAGCATCATCAGCATCATCATCAGCAGCATCATCATCATCATCGTATTCATCATCATCAGCATCATCGTTATCATCATCATCAGCAGTAGCAGCATCAGCAGCAACA